CACTTCCAGAAAGCAGATTTGCTGCCTGAGACTCATGCTAATTCTAAAGATGCAGTAAAAGAATCATTAATAGGTGAAATATAAGGCAAGAATTCCTCCTTTAAAAAATTATCCCCCCAGAGGGGGGAGACAGGGGCTGGGTGGAGGTGGGTAAAGGGGGGTGAGGATGGGGGACATCTCTAAGAGTGTCAACAATAAATTTTTAAAGAAAAAAAAATTACCTCTCAGAAAAAAACAAGTCACTTTATAAACAATCTTTACAAAGTAACTCTTGCTATGGTCAGTTCTTTCAATTTTTTTATTTTAAATACAAAGTACTAGTTGGGGTTGACACATCAGCCTAAAATAAGGTCTGGTTTTGGCTGCTTATAGAGGTAAGCTGATGGTATTAGCAAAAGAAGACAAATTAAACACAGATTTAGTAATCATTCCTGGGGCTATGAACTCACACTTCCACATGTAAGCTGTCACTGTAAAACATTTTACAAATCACTTTAAAAAGTAAAAACATAGCTAAGTTGTGGCGACCACAGATATACACAGACTGGACACATTGTAAGAGAATTCTAATTGTATCTCGTAGTAAAATAGTCAATGACAATATCTTACCCATACTCACAAGGGATGAATCTCAAAAAAACCGAAAAGTGTGGTCTGGAAAAACATACCGGCTGATCCAAAATGTCACTCCAGTGATTAAAATACTAAGGTCAAATATGGATGTGAAGAGTTTGGAGAAAAATATGTTATGAATATGAGGAGGCGTAAAAACAATATTTCTAAATTAGTGTGATTTTATAGAGGTATATGTACAAACACACACATATGTGTGTGTGTTTACTTTTAACCCTCACCCAAGGACACGCTCACTGATTTTTAGAGAGAGGGGAAGGGAAGAGAGCATGGATCATTGCCTTCCCCTACCTGCCCCAAGCAGAGACAGAGCCCGCACCTAGGTATGTGCCCTGACTGGGAATCGAACCTGCAGCCTTTTGGTGTAGAGACTGGCACTCCAACCAACTGAGTCACATTGGCCAGAGCTAGAGTAGTGATTTTAAATAGGTATATTTAAATTTAAATATAGTATATGTACTATAGCTTAAATAGGTATATGTACCTAAATTTAAAACGTAAATTTTGTAAGTAGGCATTTGGTTTGTTTGTCTACATACCTAAAAGTACAATATACTTTCAACTTGACCAAAAAACACTTTGGGGGACTTTTTAATAGGGGAAATTTTGATATTTGAAATTACCTTACAGTTGGGCAATATGGTATATGCTGAATTTAATAAAATAAAATATAATTGATTCACATAGCTAGCCTTTTGATTACTTAACCAAGCAGAGCTCTCTTCCCTTCTATCAGACCCATACAAAAACTGGTAAGTCTGATCATATTTAGAGGTTTGTTCCACCTGCATTTAATAATCTTTTGGAGACTATAATGAAGCAAGTCAACAGCAGGAGTTCAGGATTCATTTCTGGATCCCCCTGTACCCTCCTTCAGGAACTGCAGTGGCCCAAGGCCCATCGCTTCAAACCAGCTCCTCAGCCTGGCTCTCATCCCGCCCTGCCCCCATCACCCCCACCCATCCAGATGACCCAATTTCCTACCACAGCCAACATGCACCCTCCATCCATTCCTGGTAAGTCTTCCTTCACAAGGGCTTCTTCCCCTGCAATGGCAACCCCCGCCCCCAACTCCATCCTTTACGACCCAACCCCAGTCCCACAAAAGGAAGTTGTCCTGATGGCCTCAGCCTGCAGCAGACTGGCTTCCACTCCCTGAAATCCTCATGCAATGCAGTCATAATTTAGCACTGAATTACATGCTTTTGTAAGTTATTCTGTGATTGCTTCAGGCATCCCCCCTCCCCTCCCCGTCTAAGAGAAGAGAATTCTGAGCGCAGGGACTAGAACTAACAATTCTTCTAGATGCCCCTCAGAGTTCACCGTCACTTCAAATGACATCATGCCATTTCAGGCGGAGGATGCTTTTGCCCCTGTTTATGGGCAAACTACAAGAAAAAACAGGAGCAGGACCTTCACCAAACAACTGTTTTAGTTTAACCTACTGGCCTGAGTCACAGATCATTTGCAATGGAGTGACTGCGGGTGGTGCAAAAAAGGAAGCGAGCCACAAACAACACAACCGGTCTTGCTTTCTGGAGGGGCCAGCAAAGGAGGCTGAGAAGCAATGTCCAGGGAAACCAGATAAGTAACCCCCACCCCGGGAAGTGAACTTGAACAAACCTCTATGTGTCATATAGGTAGTTAGACAGACTTGAGCAGAGCAAGGGCCATGGGCCAGGTACAGAAACTCGCCAGGGGAGAAAGCACCGGATGCCTAGCAGAGGGGGGCAAATGGGAAAACAAGAGCCTCACCCCCAGGTAACCTATCTTCCCCTAGCATGTCACTGGTCATGCGGTTCAGACCACTGACTTTTCATATCTTTAGTCATGTGGTTTAGACCCCACCCCACCCCCAACCTTTATCTAGGCCTCAGCTGTATTTCAGCTCCAGGCCCAGAAAAGCAGCAAAACCAGACAAGTGACACCCTGGCTGCCTCAGGACGAGCTATAGTGACTAATGACCTCCTGCCCTGGCACCAACCAATCAGTGGAGATCATGACCCTGAAAGAGCACACCTGGAAGGCTAATGAATATTCTATTGAGACACTCCTGAGACCTCCCCTAAGATTTCCATCTGCAAGAAAGAGATAAATACGATCATGACAAAGGAGCAAGGCTGTGCTCACCACCAGGGCAGCACTCCAGTGCCATCCCCTTTCCCCCTTCTTCCCTCCGAGGGGACCCCACGAGACTTGCAACCAAGGTAGCAATGGGCAGCGGCAGCTGTCCCAGGCTTGCCCCTGAACCTGTCTCCAAGGCCCCTTCTCTCTCTGACTCCTCAGGGAGCCAGAGCAGCCCAGCCCAGGTTTTCCTGTTACTTCTCTGCTCTTCCTTGTTTCACCATCCTACATATATTTTTGCTGCCATCATGGAACCCATATCCTTTAACTCAGTGTTATGTAGCCTTTCCCTTTGGATATCCCCACTCCCCATCTCCTTTCCTTAAATAAATTCAATTTTTCTTTATTCACTGTCTGAGATGGCTGCCTAGCCTGCCCGGGCACCACCGACCTTAACCTTTCAGGCACTATGATGATCAGTGAGGCAGCCACGGAAACAAGATACCGTATTATCTTCCTACCATCTGGAACTGTTTATCCCGGACTTTTAAAGTGTGAGCTGGAATACCCCACAGTTGGGCCTGCATTTGAAAGGCACCCATTAATACCAATGTTCCATATCAGAGCCTGGCTTCCTCTCCCGGCCCAGGCCTTGGCCCACCCTTTTGCAGACCAGAACCGTATGGTATCCATTTCGGCATCACTCTTTTATGCCTAGGTGCTCAGAATATAAATGGTGTTTTCCTGGTAGGAACTAAGCAGGGGCACTCTACTGAAATAAAAAAAATAAAATAAAATAAAAAGAAGTATAGGAAAAAGGAAGAGCAGATCAGTAAGGCTCCTGATAATGTTCCTTTTTTTTTTACTTACTCCTCTAATTCCAGTCTCTAAACATATAGGCCAATTTCTATTCCCTTTTCTCTACTCGCATTGTATCCACAGCCTTCTGTGCTGGGTCAGTTCAGTAAATTACATAAAAGGTGACCCAAGGCTTAGGTCAGATACAAAGAAAAAGGCTTGATCTGAATCAACTCAGAAATTCATCACTTATGAATACTGCAAAGACCCTGAAGGTTTTTCACTCATGGGAGATTTCTTTGCCATCTTTTGCATAAAACTTCTGTAAAAGGACACTCCGGTGGTCAAACTGACCTAGGGAGCTAGAGTCAAAAGACAAGGGTTTCCTTTCCTACCCTAAAATCCATGAAGCATAAATCTCCAGGTATAATATTCTCTCTGCTACTATGTGTATAACTGTGTAGTCAAGCCTTTGTTTTTTCTTACTAACTTATAATAGTATTTGTAGCCACAATATATAATAGGATAACTATCACTACTACTTTTACCTTAATGGAGCCTTCCAACTTCAGATATGAAGGTCAAAGCGGAGGTCAAGCCTGGAGACTGATCTTACTAAAGGTCATATTTTAGTAAGCAGCCTGACGCTTATTTGTAAGTGCTAAAAAGAATCGCCCTGAGCACTTCTCCTAGTGACAGACGGGTAAACATTTCCACAATTACTTGGTAACAGTTGCGGGATGAAAAGAAGAATAAAACTCCAGCTCCCCACTCATTCCTTAAACACGTTTCAAACCGATAGGTCCCAGCCTACTTCGAGGAGTCAGTGAATGGCAAATAGTCCAAAATTTATACTTTCATTGTTAACACTTTCCAAACTATATTGTTTTCCTGCCTGTCTCCTCCAACCAGGCTGTGACATGCTCCTGGTCGGGCGCTATTTTATTTCTTTGTATTTTCAGCGTTTAACATTGTGTCCAAGCACACGGCTGTGCTCAGATGACTGAACGACTACAAAACGCCCGGCCACGAGGCAGGCCCCACACCTGGCGCTGCAGGTCAGAAATTAAACAGATCGTGAAACCGCACGACCTCTGGCCGCTTCTCTTCCACTCCATGTCCCAAAAGTACACGGAGGGTGGGGGAAAGGGCACGATCCTTCCCCAAACCTCCCGAAGTCCCGGCAGAAGGCAGTGGGCTGTCTGACCCGCCTGGGATGCTTCTGACCTCCACGCGCAGAGCACGACTCCTTTCGCTCCCTAAGGCCGAGGGGACCCAGGTACTGTCCTTTTTCTCCAAGCCCAGCCCTGAAAACGACCCCTCCCCACAAACGCTCCACTCCACAGACCAGCCCAGGCGCCCAGAGAGTCCCAGAAGGGAGGCTCCGCGCTGCACTGTGGGAATTGTAGTTCCGCGATAAGTTCCGCACACGGGTGGCCCGGAGGATGGGACTCCCACTCCCAGAAGCCCCCGCGCGGGCGCCTCGCCTAGTCCTGTCATCTCACCTGTTCTCTGGACGTGACTGTTTCCACCGAGTCGTCCTGCAACCGCTCCCTCGCGTGCTCGGGCCTCAGACTGTACAGCGGCTCTGACCAGACAGGGGAGGAAGTTGGAGGGCAGTAGTAGGTGAAGGAACTCGGAGAAGCCATGATCAGGAGAGCAGCGGGCGGTGTATAGGACTCAGCTTCGTCCAACAACAACGCGCATTGAAACTCGAGCGGCTTAAGGCGCTACGGCGAGCGGATAGAGTCAAAAAGGTTTTGAACGCGAATCTCTCTCCTCCTACCTACAAGTCTTCAGGAAGTGAGTCACTGAGATGCTGCCGCCCCCCACTGGTGAGAGTTGCTGCTGCAAGAGGCTCAGCTTCCTGGAGCGCAAAGGATATGTGACGTCTGAACTGCCTTTCAGAGAGATGGTGTAAGATGCCTTGGTTCCTTATGCAAAAAAATATACACACTTCTTTTCAACATTCTGCTAATTCTCACTTCATTGTAATGGCAATAGTTCATAGTCTCGAATGCCCAAGAACCCATTAATTATAACTTTGAAAGCGTTTCTGACAGCTCTCAGAGTGCCTCTGTTACATTATTACTAAGAATTATTGTGTACGTTTGGGTGACAGCCACCCAAGAGAAGCCAGCAGTTTCTAAACAAAGGAACTGCCATCTCAGCACCCAGCGAGGAAGGCAAGGGGTATTGTAAATTTCTCCTATTCCCTTGGGGGTTGCAGTGCAGAAGGAACAACCAAGGATAAGTGAAACAGCCAAGGCAGTATTTGTTCACTTATTTATCAGGTGTTTTGTGGGGGTTTTTTAAAGAATAGTTTGTTGATTTTTAGAGAGGAAGGGAGGAGGGGGAGAGAGAGAGAGAAACATCAGTGTGAGAGCACAACATGAGTGGCTGCTGCCAGCATGCCCCCTACAGGGTACTGAGCCTGAAACCCAGGCTTGCAGAACTGGCAACCTCCTGGTGCACAGGAGGACACCCAACCAACTGAGCCACACAGGCCAGGGCTATTTATTTGTTTTTTGTAGAGCACCTACACATGTCAGGCACTGTGCTAGGCCCTAGCAATACAAAGATGAACAAAACAAATAAGGTCCCTGCCCTTGGAAACGTTACAGTCTAGTGGGATAGACAGAATTAAGTGAATGAACACAGTAAATATATGAAGACTTGTGGTACATGACACTAAGGAAAACAGGGTCTATGAGGGAAATTAAAGTAGGAAATGACTAATTAGATTGGTGGTCAGGTCAAGACTCTTCAAGTAAGTGACATGTAAGCTGAGACCTGAAGGATGACAAGAAGCCATCCATGTGAACAATATGGGGGACAAGCTCAAGAGGAAGAAACAGCAAGTTTGAGAGAACATGCCATAAATATACATATGCATGTTTATATTAATTCTGATATTTAATCTGGAAGTATTCAGAATAAAAAAACAACTATTGAGTGGAGATAATCATATACAATTCCATAAAAACAATTCAAAGTTGTGATATTAGGAAACCCCTGCTACCTTTGGACATACAATAGAAGAGAATCTTTCAGGGCCCACATCAAAATTACACCAAAATTGTAATACCAAGAAGCTAAACTATTCCGAGCACAGTGGGCAGTTGTTGGTGGGGAGGAGGGAGAGAAGCTAAGATGATAACAGACTTTCCACATAGGCTTGGACACAAGTTCAACTTCCTGCTCAGAGCATTTTACTCTGTACCCGCTCATTTCCAATCACGTGTGTAGGACTCAGGGAACGGTGGTATATTTCACAACCAGCCATTACCCCGTACTCAGTCTCTGGTGTCAAACAGAATCACTGAGAAAGATTCTAAGGATGAGGCCTGGATGGCCTAAAGGCCTCAGGCAGATAACACTATCGCATGTCTATTGTGGAAGAGGCAGAAACTTTCCTCTACTCATGGTTTTTCAGCTGGTCTAATAATTAAGTTGAGACACATTAACAAGAGAAAATCACCAAATTTAATGACATATGTACACCCTGGAACCCCACATACATAAGATTCAGAGACGGTTAAAATGAGGTATGCATGGCATTCTGAACAAAGTATGAGGTAAGGCACATTGGGGCTTCAAAGGGTCATTGCAGGACTATAGGAAGAGCAGATGTTCAGTAATTCATAGTTTTTGCTGCCATATAGATAGATTTTTTAAAAAGATCATCTCTTATTACGAGCAAGGCCCCTAATTCAAATTCTTCTAGGTAGTTAAGGGAGAGGGGGGCAGAAGTTTCTCTTGAGCCCACGGGGTCTCAGTCGATCTTAGCTCAAAATAACCCTCATAAAACAGAGGCATATCTTGGGGTGACTCCTTCTGAACCCCTATACCATTTTAGTGGTACTGTTGCCAAGTTAAGTTCCGGAGGTGGCAGAATGTTACTAAATCTGAGACTAAGTGAGACTGTGGGTTAGGATCACCAATACGGCTACACTATACTTTCCTCTGTATTGGCAACTTACTGTCTTTCCCTTAGTTCTGTTTTAGAAAAAAACTGTCTGATAAAGGTCCAGGTCATATTTAAGGATTCAGCTTTCTTTGTAAAGAGTTGCTCTGCTGGCTAGAAATTTAAATTGAGCTATTGAAAGAGTAGCTGGGAGCATTTTGTAACAAATTGTTACATCTATTACAGGTGTACCTACAGCAATTGCAAATTGTATTCAAGAAATAAAAACCCACTAATGAAACGCAGTCTCCTCTGCAGTGGGTCTGAAAGATATTAATAAGGGCACAGCAAGAGTCACCTGCAATATAGTGTCTTTTCATTCAGTACATATTTATTGAGTACCCATTATGTGCTGGGCACTGAGCTAAGTGCTGAGGAGACAGTGGTGAACAAGCCAGACACAGTCTCAGCTCTTACAGGTCTCATGATTTACCAGAAAGAATAGGCCTTAAACAATAATTACAGAACTATTTCGTTAAGGGAAATAGCATGAGGAAGAAAGAGGCACAGGGTGTTGTGAGACTGCATAAGAGAGAAGACCGAAGGTAATCTGGAAGATCAGTAAAGACTGACGCGAGGAAACAAGTTAACTAACCTAGGGTGACAAGTCATCCCAGGCAGAGGAAGCCCAGTGACAACCAAAACTCAGGTGAAACAAGGAATGAAAATATGAGGAATTTGTACTTTATGTAGCATAGAGAAGATTGTTCAAGTCCTGGATCGGCAGTGGCCCACCAGTTGTCCTTCTTCTGGGTTTAATGAAACCATTTATTCAAGAAGCAGAATGAACAACCCTGACCGGGTGGCTCAGTTGGTTGGAGCATCGTACTGAACACCAAAAGACTGCGGGTTCAATTCCCAATCAGGGCACATACCTAGGTGGCGGGCTTGATCCCAGGATGCGGGGGCATACGGGAGGCAACTGATCAATGTTTCTCATTCATATCGATGTTTCCCTCTCTCTCTCTTTCTCCCCCTCCCTCTCTCTCTGAAATCAATAAATATATCCTTGGGTGAGAATTAAAAAAAGAAAAAGCAGAANGGCAACTGATCAATGTTTCTCATTCATATCGATGTTTCCCTCTCTCTCTTTCTCCCCCTCCCTCTCTCTCTAAAATCAATAAATATATCCTTGGGTGAGAATTAAAAAAAGAAAAAGCAGAATGAACATAAATATTGGCAGTATGGTAGAAAATGGTGCACTTACAGGAGAAAGTCTCAGTAATGATAATTCATAGCAACTCCAGCTTGGACTGTAGATGGTTTGGGTTTATTTTACTCAAATTACTGATATTTTTCTAAATTGTGAATTATAATTATTTCTTTTAAAATAATGCAAAATTATACAGATAGTGCTATTTTGTACTTCCATCAAGAGCAAGGAAACAAGGAAAAAATTAATGGCCTAAATGAACCACTAGAGGTCGCTTCCGACCCTAGAGTAGGCTTTAAAACCGCTCTGCCCCTTGCTCACAGGAGCCCGTATGTCAGCATGAATTGTTTCTTTTAATATCTTGTGAAAAAATGCAATGCATATATTGGAAAGTTTGAAAAATGGCTTATCCCACTATATAATTAATTTCCTTCCACACAACTACTCTTCCACCAGCATCTGCCGCCTCCCACTCTGCTGTCCATTTCTTTCCTGTCCCCCTGGATGCAATGACTCCCCAGCTTTTACACAGGGTCAGCTTCTTCCATGTTCCATCCAAAGCGTTTATTCCAGCAATTTTCCCTTCCCTTTCCTAAAACATCAAATTGTCCCTATACTTGATCATTCCCTTCACCCTAAAAAAAAAAAAAAAAAAAAAAATTTTTAACCCTCTTGATTT